TGATATATTACAGAGGATCTCTCCCTGAGCTGGAATCATAAATTTGCCACCAACCAAAGATGGGATAGCTCCTGCCCAGCTCCCCATGTAACTTTCTAGGGCTTTCATACATAAATAGCAGAAAGGAGCTGTAGTTTGATCCTTGCCTGATGCTGAATTCTTTACAATTCTTGAAGGAGGAGAGATTCTCTAGAATATGCCAGTTCTATGTCAACAGTGACTCAACGTCATCCAGCATTAGACATTCTAAGCTTCTTTTTGCCATTCAAAATGTCAACAATTCCCATTCTTTTTTGCTAAGCTGTCTTTCCCCCCAGTCCTTTTAGAACATAACTGTCAGGCACTAAGCCTGGGACTGTGAATGAAAAATACCTATTCTCCTACTGAGCTGTACTTTATCCACAAAAGAATCCTTTCAGAGACTGAACCCCCTATGTGCCCTTTCTGTAGGTAAAGCTTGTTAGTATTTCAGGAAAGGCATCCGAGTACAGTTAGACTGGGATAGGGGTCCTGAGTTGCAACCTAGTTTGTTGTAAATTAAGTGAAGGTGCTGATTTGTAGTAGTGGAAGTGCCTTTCCCTTCCACCTGTGTCTCCCTTTCAAGGGAGAGAGAAGCTTTCCTGCTTCCGAATAGCTGACTAAGAAACAATATTTTAATTCTATCCATCTTCATTTGAGTACAAGGCCTTGTGGGTAGAGACAGACATATTTGTTTTGTTGAACGACAACATGTAATTCAATGATAAAGGCAGGCAGGTAGGTCAGGCTAGCTGCATTCAGTACCAAACTGAAGACAGAGTAACCAAGATTTGCTTCCGGATAGTCTACTTGGAGGGATTAGTACACAATTCTGGGAGACCCTTAACTGTTAAAAGAGTATTTGAAAAAGGAAGTTTTATCTGTCTCCCGTTGCTGGCTATCTCCTGAAAGAGTTTGTCTCCTAGCTAGGAGCTTCCTAGAAACCCTAGGAATCACTTTGCAGAGCTGGTTTGTGATACCTCATACTAATTTTCACAAGAGCCACTTTGTGGTAAATAAGAGGACTAGAAACTCAGTCTTGTCTACATGGGCTCATCATGGGCTGGAGTGGGCTAAATAGGGTATCTAGAGGTCAAATTGATGTCCAGGATGCCTTTGGGTGTGATACAGTACATCAGCGATGCTCTAGTACAGTGTAAAGAACTTTTCTTCTATCCCTCCACAGAGAAGCAGTGGAAGTGTTTAATTTCCCACTATCATGAATTGGTCAGCTTGAACCAAAAAGCAATCCTATCTGCATCAAAATAGTAGAAGCCCCTCCAGAAAGAGGCTGGTAGGAACCCTCTGGAGGTAGGCTCCTTTGCTATAGCAAAAAAAAGTCTAATCACTGGATTTAGGAGCAAATCAGCCTGTCCCCACTGCTGACCAAAAAGCAGGATAAATGCCTATTTAGTCACCCTTTAAGCCTCCTTATTCTAAACACAAGAGCTATCTACTACACACTTGGTCTCAAGCTTTTCCCCACCTCTTAAGAGTAGTATAGTCCTTTGCTTCAGCAGGAAAGAAAGAAGGCAGATTTTTTGTTCCTAAATATCTAGGCCATACTGGACCATGTCTGGCAGCTAGGTATGTTGGAAGATTTTGCTTCATCTGTAGTTGGAAGCAATCTCCTGATAAAAGACCTTCCAACCAAGTGATGGGATCAAGCTGTAGTTATCTTTTGAATTTGACCAATCTCCAGATTTTAGAATGTAGTTTAGCTTTATAATGTACCAAAAGTGAATGAATCGAAAAGGCTGAGTTTTATGTATATTGCACTTCAGAAGGAACATAGAACAAATACAGTGATGATTTCAGCTTTAAAAAAAACACAACAGTTCCTAGCTGTTGTGATGTTGATGGTATGTTTTAAAGTATGTGGCAATGCATTCTAAAAGAAATCTAAAGATATAAAACTGAGTCAATTCTGTAGCAATTCAGGGATGGGGCTTCTGTGCTTGCATAACAGCTTGTTCTTTCCCGTGATCAAAACTAAATTAAATTACTCAAAACAATTCTGAAAATTCACATTGGCCTACATGTTTAAAATCCAGCTTTTCTTGACACAGAATTGGTATTTGTTCTTAAAGGAGCAGCTGCTACAGAGAGCACACTGGCAATCATTGCTGCCCTTCCATGACAGACTTACCTGCCAGGTCATGTGCCAAGTCCTTGATCAGGTGACCAACAATGGCATAAGCAACACTCACTACCACAGCCAGAGCCATCACCATGTAGAGTGCAGCCTTGGGTATAGGAAGGAGATCTAAGACAGGTGGCTGGTAATCACTATAAAGAGGGCTCTCATTGGAGGAAGAAGAGGCATGCTGAGGCAACGGTACCAAGGCCTCTGTGCGGTTTGGAATGCTCATGTTCTCTGACCATGTTGGAGAGTCAGCCTCCATGTCCTGGCAGTGGTTCCTTGGCAGTCAAAGGTCCGCAGGAGCAAGGAGACTCTGAAACAATCAATGCAGAAGGTGCTTAGGTTACTGAATGCCTATCATGACCAAAAAAAAAGAAAAGAAAAGAAAAGAAACCCAACCATCTCCTGCTTGGATGTGGTTGCTGCCTCGTGCTCTACAACAGCTTTTGATGCCTATCATGACCAACAAAAAGAAACCCAACCATCTCCTTCTTGGATGTAGTTGCTGCCTCGTGCTCTACAACAGCTTTTGAGAGCGAAATCTAGATTGGGACCAAAACGGCAAGGGGGACATAACAAAAACAGATCACAGTGATCTGAATTTAAGTAGAGAATAGAAATGCCAGAAAATCAGGTGATGACTCACCTAAAGTAGAGTGGTATAGATTTACCAGATGAGCGGAATATAAATCAAATAAATAAATAAATAAATAAATAAAATTTGTCCCCCAGACAGAAAACCTGACCCTGGGTTCTGCTATTTCAGACTACAGTGGAGATGGGAAGGGGGTTCACATTATCAAATATATAACAACAACAAAAACAACAATAATAACACCAACAGAGCTACAAAAACCAGCAGTATTAAGAACAGTATACATACTGTGCCAATATTCCTTAGGTTTTTGGTTAATACTTATACCTGTTATATACTACCAGTCAAAGTTTTTATAATTTTGACTGTGCCTGGTTTTTTTTGTTTTGCTTTTTAATTGACAACTTGGGATACGGTAAAGGGGTACAGAAGGTAAAGGGCGATATAGGAGGGAAAAGGAGGGGTAGGAGGAAACAAAATGTACTGTTGTCCACTCTATTCATGTTGCAATGGGTTTTTGTTTTGTTTTTTAATTGACAACTTGGGATATGGTAAAGGGGTACAGAAGGTAAAGGGGGATATAGGAGTTGTTTTGCT